CTGAATTCCTTTCAAACGTTTCGATATTTCGTATTTTATACGCGTGTATAAAATATTCGTTAACGCGTTCGAAGCGAATTGTATCGTATTTGCGAGGAAAACGTAAAACTTTTGCAAGTCGATAGGAAAGTCATATAGTTATATAGCGAGAGAAATAATTTTCTATTTCTCCGTCATCTCGAATTTGCGGTTCTCCTCGGTTATCAAGAGTTATCCAACCTTGTATTACATTAGCATACGAATATAACGTCGGGAGCGGAGGTTTAAACTGTTTCTAATAACAGTGAACATATGCGTGAGAGCAAGCGAAGCGACGAAGCGACAAATAATTTTCGGGATGTCGGAGGTGGGTAGCACATCTTGCCACATCTGCTTGCTAATTCTCGGTGCTAATCCGGCAAATCCCATGGCACCCCCGCGCATTAAAGTCGGCCTTAGACGAGGCTCGGGATGGCGGGGTAGGTAGAAAGGGCCGAGAGAGGATACAGTTTCGTCAACGAAGGTGGAAGGAGCGCAAGGGGTCAGAAGAAAGGACGGGTGGTTGCAAGACACGCGAGAGGCGGTTGCGGGAATGCTACTTGGCGATGAGGCTAATATGCATGCGCTCGGCCCAGCCAAACTTCCCTTAGATCGCATTGCATTGCATTACGCGGCATTACAATGGTGCTCTATCCCATGGAGAAAGCGAGGAAGAGGTCGAACCAGAAAGCAGAAGCTAGTTACCCTCCTTCCTCTTCCTCAACTTCTCCGCCTCCCGTGATTCTCCGACCTTTCCTCTCCCTGGTCGGTGGCAACACATGCTTAATAATTTACGCGGCACAAGTGGCCTGGAACTTTACCGTGAGTTATATCATACTTGCGCATACATTCTTGTATACGTGGACACGAGTCTGTTACGAGGGAGCACACAAGGCTCGCAGGAAGAAACTGGCCGATACTCGCGATACGTACCGGTATACATGTGCATCCCTGTACCGAGGTAAGAGCATCCTCCGTGCGTGAATTATTGCTGGTAGGGTTTCTGGGGCATGCGCGTCAGATACCGGCGGGTTATATTTTTTCGCTGGGATATCCGATGGGTAAATGGCGAAGGAACGGGTTCGAGGGGATATCCAAAAAATGGTCTCTGAAGATCGGCCTTTCTACGATATATCTATATACACAGTATGATAGTGACAACTATCAGACTAATCAGACGATAGTAGGTTTACAAGCTAGTCTAACATAAATTTTGCATGGCTTCGTCACCCTTCTTTTATGATTTTGTTACGCACTGGACGCGTCTCTAATTTTATTACTACATATATATACGCGTATTCGTCACGTATCATAAAATATCATAAATCGACATGTATTTTTAATATGATCATTTTGAAATTTGAAATAGAAATTTTTTCGTTGTCCAATATATATATGTATAGTTCTTTATAAATTTCGAATATATTCGAAAATTCGAATATACATGTAAAATAGTAATGGAAAAAATAATTGACAATGAAGAATTGCGAATTTTAGTGGTCATACAGAATATTTGCTGTTAAATGTAAAGGACGCGTTACAAAGAATTAGCGATAGTGAAAAACACGATTAATTCTCGTCAAGGATTTAGTTTGCTTCGAAAAATAATTGATTTAACCATCTCGAAATTTCGAAATTTTTCCCTACTTTCATAGTTATGATTTTTTTTCTATCGTGCTTTCTATAAAACATCAGGAGTCGTGTATACGGAGGGATGGAAACTCGTTTCTATCTGGGAAGCTCGTTTGTATTTCTTGCTATCCTTCTAATGTTATTCTTGGTCGATACTCTGCTTTTCGTGGATCACGTTTTGTAGTTTCGTCGTTTCACGAAAAATTCGTACGCTTTCGGGCAATTTCCTCTAGCCATAAATCACGTCGACGTCGTCGAGTTCATCTCCCGCGCGTCGCGCCGACCTCTATCAAACGCTATTCTCACCTCTTTCGTTTTTATCCCTTTCGAACCGATATACGAATTAAGAAAGTACGCTCGATGGAAAGAAAAACGCGGACAATTGGTCCGAATTTTGTTACTTTGATGAAATTTTCATCGCGTGTAAAAAAGAAAAAAAAAGGAAAGAAAAGATAGATCGATGAGAGGCATCGGTTTATCGGATGATGAGTTTCTGGATCAGACTTAGAGATAAAGAATTGAAATAGGATAATATCGATTTTTATTACAAATTCTTCCGGATTTACGCTATTTGTTCTTAACCGATTTAAATTTTAAAAAAACGATAAAAAATTTCATCGCATGTATATATCGATTGAAATATAAATTAAAGAATCGGGGATGGAAAAAACTTTACTTTGTATATTTATATTTTAAACTAATGTTAGAAAAAGAAGAAGAAAACACGTTGTTAAATACGTAGATTGCGTTTATTAAGACACGCTACTCTCGTTGAGAGTAAGGAAAAAAAATGTAACGAAATATTAGCCCAAGTCTCCTCTATGGTTTGCCGTAAACAAGTGTAAAGAAGACAATGCTTGGCGTTTTGTAAAACGAGAAATCAAGGTCTCTTCAGTTTCGAAACAAAGAGCAGTTTGTCAATTTTGTAGGAACTTTGCAAACGTAATACTTATGCGGCACTTTTCTACTTACTTCGGTGCGCTTTTCCCGAACACACTAGGGTGTGTTTCTTTCTATCCTTAACCTACATTAACGTCGCGGCCCGCGTCTTTCCATGGAGAATGGGTCGATAAACGCGAAACCCCTCGCATACGTTCAGACCGAAATTTACCCAACATTTCGACTCGACTGTTGTTTCTCGTTACAAATCTTTCGTCCCGTAAATCTAGTAAAAATCTAGTTTATCATTAATCGATTATATTCGCTTCGTTATCTAGAAAACAAATGGAAAAATCTTGCGTAGAAGAGAGGATATATCACGCGCGAAAGATGGGAGCCAAGTAATCGATATTTTCTTATCGTATCTGAATCCTGAAAAGAACAAAATGGAAACATTTTCAAAGATTATTGTTTTATACGAATAATTTCACCAGTTTTTTGTTTCTCATTTTATTATTCCTACTGTACCATAAATTGAGAATATAACGTAATATAATATATATAACGAGGATACAAGGATTCATTTGTTAATGATTAAAAATTGGATGGAAAATGTTAAACGGATTAACAAGACTTTCGTATCGAAATGTTTCGATCGTGGGTTGGATTTGTACGTATAACGATAGCACGAATAATTTTCGAGTTTGGAAATCGAGGGTTTCTCCTGCTACGGGACGACGTGCACGCGTACACAACTGTTTAATTGTGTGCACGCGTGTGTTACACAAGAGGTGGGAGAGCACGATGCGATCGAGTATCGTACGAGGCGATGACTCAGCTCTCTAACCCCGAGTAGAGTGGCTACCCATTGGATCAGATATCCTTTCCGCCTGTACTCGCAAAACTGGTGCTTGCAACGAAACGAATTAGTTACTTTGTTCTTTCTTGAACGAAAGAATATTATATCCTTATATACCCGAATAAATCTGAGTAAAAAAAAAAAAAAAAAAGGAATTCGGAAAATTCGATCGATTTAAAAATTGCTTTTTAAATTTAAACTAACTATTTACTATTTATTAACAGGTTACGAATACGAAGGGGGTGTAACGTCGTTTCGCGAAATGGAATTTCCACGCGAATTCGGGTGAATGGGGCAGCAGAGGTTAAGGACGATCCACGATGGAAGCGGTCGATGCAGAGGCTGGTGGGAAGTTGGACGGGCTAATAAGAGGGCGCAAAGACGCCCTCGTACCCGGCAAAGACTCGATAGGGGAAGTGCACCCTTCGTATATCGGGACGCGGTGACGTCGTAGGGGCGGCTCGTAGGAGGGGAAGGGTGCGTGTAATTTCCCGGTGGACGATGGCGTCAGGGCGCGTGGTGTGGATCAAGCTGAGGGTCGTTCAACCACCAGTGTTGTTTAGTGTCTCGTGCGCTGTCGTGTCGTAGTTCTGTTCTCTCGTGATCGTGAACGTGCTGTGCTTGTGATCGTTTAGCTTAAGAAATATTATACGAAACAAATCCGCTCGATAAAATAAAAAAATAACGATTCGAGATCCTTTTTCTCTTTTTTCTAAAAGTAGCGTGCCAAAGGATATCGCGCCGTTGCATCGTAAAAGTAGAAAAAAAATACGAAAGATAATAAAGTATCGTTAGCGTGGAGCGTGAACGAATCCGAGTAGTTAAGTGCAATATGTATATATATATATATAAAACTTGGTAAACGATCGCAAAGTGATATTTGTCTGGTGAAAGTGTCGTATCGTGATCGTCGTTTAAATGTTATTCTCGTCCCGTTCTTATAAAATCGCTTGGTCGCACGATTCGCGTGTTTTGCGAATTACCTATTTATTACCCATCCGGAGAATCTTTTAGAATTTTCGTAACGAACGTTCCTGGATCACCTGCGGACTGACCGACCGAGCAACTGGTGTTCGCGCACGCGGCCGCAGACGCAGAGTTCATCGATCGAATCTGTAAACGAATCGATAAACCGATCGTATCTTCCACTTTTCCAACGACTTTTCCAACGTCGTAAATCGCGTATAATCATGCGGATACGCGGTTACTTTTCCCGATCGGGGAAGCGTGCAATAGGACGTTAAATCGAACGCGCATTACATCATCGCGATCGCGAACGATTAATTCATCCGGACGAAAGATATATTTTTTCTTCAAAAGCCTCTCTTAATGCGTTTCGAAAGCCATTAATCGTTGCGTGGAAAGCGGCATCGTCGAGTCCCTCTTCCACCGGTTTCCTTTATTTCACCCTCTTTCTCGTTAAGTATTCGCTTTCCCGTGCACGAGCCGCATTAGCCGCTTCCCACCCCTCCCCCATCTTACTCCTTCTCCCTCCTATCCCATTCTTCCCACGTCACTCTGTTTTCCGTTCCAACGAAGATTACGCTATCGTGTATTTTTTATCGAGCTCCTGATTAAAACCGGACCTCCTCCCCACGCTCGCCCACGCTACCTTTCGCCAAATAACGCCTCTGTTTCACGCTCCAACCGCCTCATCCCCTCGGCCGGTCGATTACCCACGGTGACGACGGTTAACGAGCACTTTCGCGACGCCACCCACCCCCTCGCTCGCGCGTCCACCGCGCTCTGACATTGTTCGCGGCCGTGGTTTCGCGTGGTTCTACGCGGCGGGCGACAAGCAATCGCGAAAACACGCGCGAGAGAAGAGGGATCGATACGAAGGGTCCAAGGTCGTCGACCATCGGGACACGAGTTTTGACAAACGGCTCGTTCGAGTGTGTTGGACGCACACGGAAAGCAGAAGAAATGTTGATACCGGTCTCGTCCTCGCCATCCTCCACTCCTAACGGAGACGGCGCCATCAAACTCTTCGTAGGACAGATACCGCGCCACCTCGAAGAGGACGCGTTACGACCGATGTTCGAGGAATTTGGTAAAATTTACGAGTTCACCGTGCTCAAGGACAAGTACACTGGCATGCACAAGGGTGAGTGAGAGAGAACGAACGCGATATACTTTTTCGGCAACGAAAAAATAAAATTTCCGACTAACTTGTTCTTCTTACAAGTTTTACGATCGAAAATATCGACTTTGCGTGAGGAGGGGGGAATTCACGATCGTACGTACAACGAATGCACGAACGTAATAAGGAGTATAATTTAATCAAGGAGTAACCGGTTCGATACGAATAAACGCGTACGACCATGGATGATGGGAGAGCAAGAACGAGGATGATGGGGAAAAAAAGGAAAGAAAGGGTCGTGCGCGACGCGTATCGCACGAGCACCCTTCGCATTGTACCATTGGACAACGTATTATACGTTGTATCGTCGCGTCGGCGTGGTAACTTTCGAAACGCGACTGAGAGATTAATCAGGATTTATTCTTTTGTCTCGTGACGCGATGTACGGGGAGAGGACAGAGATTTGGAGAGCGAGAAGGTTAGAAGAGGGTGGAAGAGGAGGAAAGAAAAGCGAGGCATGGCTGGAGGAGTGGTGGGCTAAGCCGGTGAAACAATAAATTTCGCGGGCATTCGCGTCGATCGCCGAGAGGATGAGCCGACGTCGACGATCGACGGCCTTTGTCGGTCGGCCCTGAGCTTCTCTTCTCCCTATCTACCCCCTCTCGCGACCACCGCTCTCTCTCTCTCTCTCTCTCTCTCCTTCTCGCCCGGAGGATCCCTTCCTCCGATCCCTTCCTCCGTAGGAACACCGCGGTGCACCAGACGCCGGCAAATCTGATACAATGGGGCAACGTCCACCATCACCGTTTCCGTAACGGAAACTAGTCCCGGAAACCCGGGACTTTAACGCTGACGTCACCGGTCACCGATCATCAGCCTCTTCTCCGGTAGCGAACGAGGCGTCTAATCCCTCCATTCGATCCCAGGCTCGCTCGAATTACCGTTATGCGATACCTTGGTATAAACGAGTCAGAAGGGATTTTATACAAGAACGTTAGAAGAAATGAGGCGGTGTTTGGGGGATCGTCTTCGTGAATCGTGCATCAGGAGCAATTGTATTTGGCGGAGGAGGGTTTTATTTCGAATTTTTGTCTTTCGATAACGACGATGTTATCGTAGAACTAACGTTTTTCAACGTCGAGAAAGGGACCGTTTGATTTTCGATCGATCGAGCCGAGCACGAGCTCGGTGTGATTTCTTTGCGCAAGGACGGTTGATTTCGATGAATAATTCTTTGAAATCTCGTATCGTCGACGACGATATCCTTCAGCGGGTTCCGTTTATTTAATTTGTAGGAAAAATGGCCGTAATCCGCTCTCGCGACCTGACCCCTAGTCAGGAATGCAGGTATTTTACAATAAATATCCGGCCGATAAGCTGCACAGAAGTCCGCCACGCCGTTAGGGGAGAGAGAGAGAGAGAGAGAGAGAGAGGCGCATTTTTATTTTTGTAGGCATGCAAAATTTATGGTTGACGAATGGCCGTTCGAGTTTTTGCCGGGAAATAGCTCGTTAATCTTTCGAATTATTCTCGCTTCCAACTTTGCCACGGTTCACGCGTATCCTCCCCCCGAATCAGCGCCGATATTTCGTTGCTTCGCAGCGCTATCAAAGGCGTATGCACGCATACGTGTATCCGCGATGGGATCATAGATCCAGATGCCTGTCGTTGTTACGCGTATTAACTATAAAATCGAGTTGCTTATCGAGTATTCCTCTCCTAGACGTTTTTCATTTTCGACCGTGTTACTCGCCGTTTTTCGTTGGATTATCCTCGGCTCACTATCTATTTGGGTTATTGGTAATTACCTGCATTTAAATCGGATTACGCGCTTAACGCGATTAACGTTCCATGCGTAATGCGTAAAGACGCGTTTGCACGTTCCTTTTTTTTTTTTGTTCGCATCTCTTAAAAAAAAAATATTTGCATTAAAGCGCTCGATGGAAAAAATGTTTCGAATCATCGCGCGCTACGAAAAACGGGGCTACAAAGCTATTACGAAGCGATTTTCGGCAACCGTGTCGCGACGGTTACCTGTAATTTGAAGCTTTCCGGTAAACAAGGGCGATATGGTTTCGACGCGCGTCCACCGAAACAATGGGGGAGAGGAGGTGTAGCGACTTTGCCAACAATCAACGAAATGTATTCGTTTGCATCGACATCATTGCCGAGTCAAATAACAGGCGCGTGCGTGTTACGAAAGGGAGAAGGCCGGCCTATAACGCTACGTATCACGCGATCCGTCCAGATGTGGAAAAAAGATTCCGATTGGCTCCGACTATTTATGGAAAAGTATGTTGTCGTCGTCGCGTGTCGACGAGTTCGTTAAAATGCACATCTGAAAGCCGCGAAGGTTCATTCAACACCGCGTTCCCTTTATTTTACATCCACCGCGCTTTTTCAATACGTGCTTCCCTGTAACCTCTGTGAAGTTTTTCGTTCGAAATATACGTACGAGGAGACGAAGAGACGCAAAGAGAGAGAGGGAGAGAGAGTCGAGTATAGGCTCGGGATACAGGATACACAGGGAGAGGAGAGCGAGTGGTAAGAGCTCGAGTTAGGGAAAGGTAGTGCTCAACGGCGACAAGGCTGCAACCGACACGGCAGTCTTGTAGTTTCGAAACAGCTCTCCAATTTTAATGAGACCCGTCTATTTCTCCGTGATTCTGTCTCCGTGTTATGGCCTGTCTTCGTGTAATTATATTTTGATTCCTCGAGCTGCGCCCCCTCGTTTCTCGCCGTTCACTACCCATCCCTTGTCACGGCTTTCCAACCAAACTTTTCCTCTCTTTCTCCCCTCTTTGTCCCACCTATCGCGTCCCTCTCTCTTCGCAGGTATTATCTTCTTACCGTTCTCGTTCTTTTTCTTTCCTCTTCGTACCCTCGGCCAAGGTAGCAGAAGGTTGTTGTGAATGCTAATACATCCACCTCTTCTCTCTCTCTCTCTCTCTCTCTCTTTCTCTTGGCTAGCATCGACTGGTTGGATCATGGTAGTCCAACCGCCTCCTCCACGCCGCGATCCTCTTTCCCGTTCTCTCGGCACTCGACCAATTTGTTTTGCCCTACAGATTGAGTTACAATTCAACGTAAATAGAAAACTACCA